TGCCAGCTGTTTTGTGTGTGTGTGTGTGTGTGTGTGTGTGTGTGTGTGTGTGTGTGTGTGTATTTGATTTTACCTCTTTCTTCTTCTTTAAGACAGGGAGAAAGGCCTTGAATCTTCCCAGCAGATCATTTCTGGAGAACTTTCATCTCAAAGGGAGATAATAGAAAGAACCCCAAAGGATAATTCATTGTACTCCATTTTGAAAGTCTGGCATATTGGTAATCAAATAGATAGTTATCAAGGAAACAAAGACAGAGTTTTGAGGCAGGTCACAGCCATCAGCCATGAAACATTGGCTGAAGAGACAGGTCCCAAGTATAATGCATTTGGAAAAATGTTCAATGGGTGCACAGATCTTGATCCTTCAAGTAAAAAACTTCATAATTTTGATTTATGTGAAAAGAACTTAAAATCTAATTTAGACTCACTAAATCGTGATAGGAACTATGCAAGAAAGAACCCCATTGAGAGATTTGGATGTGGAAGACCACCCAGCTATAGTGCCTTCTGTTCTGTGCCTGAGAATGAAGGCTTCATTCATAGTGGAATGAAGCCCCGTGGAGAGAGTGAATGTGAAAAAGTTCTTCATAATAAGCAAGCCCATATTCAGTATAAGAAAGTTCAAGCCAGAGAGAAACTCAATGTTTGTAGTGTGTGTGAGAAGGGCTTTATCAAGAAGTCACAGCTTGTCGTACATCAAAGAATTCATACTGGAGAGAAACCATATGTATGTGGCGATTGTGGGAAAGCCTTCAGTGAAAAATCACACCTCATCGTCCATCAGAGAATTCATACTGGGGAGAAACCCTATGAATGTACTGAGTGTGGAAGGGCCTTCTCTCAGAAGTCACCCTTCATTGTTCATCAGAGAGTCCATACTGGAGAGAAACCTTACAAATGTTTTGAGTGTCCAAAAGCCTTCTCCCAGAAGTCACATCTCATCATGCATCAGCGAGTTCATACCAGAGAGAAGCCCTTTGAATGCAGTGAATGTGGGAAAACCTTTTCTGAGAAATCTCACCTTTGTGTACACCAGATAACTCATAATGGGGAGAAGCCCTATGAATGTACTCAATGTGGGAAGACCTTCCCTCGGAAAACACAGCTCATGATACATCAGAGAACGCACACTGGAGAGAAGCCTTATAAGTGTAGTGAATGTGGAAAAACCTTCTGCCAGCAGTCTCACCTCATAGGACATCAAAGAATTCATACAGGAGAGAAACCTTATGTGTGTACTGACTGTGGGAAGGCCTTTTCCCAGAAGTCACACCTCACTGGCCATCAAAGACTTCATACTGGAGAAAAACCTTATTTGTGCACTGAATGTGGAAAATCCTTCTCTCAGAAATCACCTCTTATTATACACCAGAGAATTCATACAGGGGAGAAACCCTATGAGTGTAGAGAATGTGGCAAAACCTTCTCCCAGAAATCACCCCTTGTTATTCATCAGAGAATTCACACAGGGGAGAAACCCTATGAATGTACTGAGTGTGGGAGGGCCTTTTCCCTGAAGTCACATCTCATTATACATCAGAGAGCTCATACTGGAGAGAAACCATATGAATGTAGTGAATGTGGAAAGGCCTTCTGTGAGAAGTCTCCACTCATTATACACCAGAGAACCCATACTAAGGAGAAACCCTCTGAATGTGCTGAGTATGGGATGACCTTTTCCCAGAAATCACAGATGATCACATATCAGAGAACACACACTGGGGAGAAACCCTCCAAATGCAGTGACAGTGGGAAGGCATTCCGCCAGCATGTATACCTCACTGGACATCAGAATCCATCTAGAAGAGAAACCTTATATAGGTACTGATGTGGAAAGGCTTTTTCCCAGAAGTCAGACCTCATCGTGAATGGGAAAACTCACATTGAACAGAAATCCTATGGATATGTTGGACATGAAAAAATGTGGCAATTTCTCAGCTGTAGAATAGACTCATATATTTCTCAGTATTCTGATTACCCCTCCACAGAATGATCTGGTTAGGCCCTCAGAGTGTTTTCAACATCATAAATATGGAATCAATTTACTCGCCCTAAAATTATCTTGGCTCCCTTCATAAAATAAATGTGTCTGGAACAATTAGCACTGCTTTGGTATTTCCTGGTCCTTAAATGTTTTACAGAATTCTCCTGTGAGTTTATTTGGGTGTGGTGCATTATTTGAAGGGTATCTCTTTATTATCTTTCTCTCTTTTTTCCATTATATCTTTTCTGTTTAAATTATATATGTACTATATAATTTATATAATACATATCTAT